ACTCTTTCTTTTCTCCTTTGGGCATGCACATGCTATTTTTGCTAGCTTGTTGGAGTCTGTTAATTTGCTATGAGCCCATTATTTTTTCAGAGTTTCTCTTAAGCTTTGACAGTTAATACAGTTAATTCTTAGGTCTTCCAGAGCCAAGACAATATTCTTTAACCTATTTTTTCCTCCAAAACATGACCGGTCCTATACCTGAGCTCTCATGGGTTCAGGAACATCAGATGGTGGAATGTTTAAACAGATATATTAAGGGTTACTTCTGTCTTTTAAAGAGTGTGTAGCAATGACAATCTAAATGTACTTCAGTTCTTTAAGCCAAATGTTACAGATTGTACTCAGCATAGTATTTCTTAATACTACTTAACTCCTAGATGGCCCAGAGATTATGTGCCTATATCAGAATATGGTAAAATCTCTATCTAATAGCTTTCAGAAATGCTCTGTTTTGGATGACTGGATTTCTCTGGAAAGCAAAATATATACACAGAACTTCATTTTTCAGCTATTTTTGGGAGGTAGGAGAAATACTTTGCAACTGCCTTACACACGTGCCCCGCCTTAGTAACCAGGTCTTTTCTGGTTTACTCAAGACCGTCATCATCAGTGTTAAGCATTTTGCTGAGCTCAGATTCGGGAATGACTGTGGAGTTGGATCAGAAAGGCAGTCAGGTCCTTAAGCACTTCTCCAACTGCTCTGTGCTCCTCCTGCTACTTCTCTGTCTCCTGTCCCTGGGTCTCTCCTTCATACTGCCTTCATTATTGCTTCTAGCCAGGCAGTTATAAAACAGTGAAGATAACCAAGTTTTGTAACTTGTCAACCTTAATTACAGTACAGAGGTATAGATGCCAGTCTAAGGATTCAACTGCTAGAGCAAAGCCTGTGGACCTTGTAGTGATATCTTGTCTGCTCAGAGGTCTTTCCCCTTGTTTCTAGGCTCCCCAGTTTGTATGGGGGAAGGAAAAGGAAATAGGTGTATGTGAGGAAATAGGATTGAATGGGCAACATTACAGACATTGAATTGTGAATAGTTGTTACTGTAAAGAAGGGACCTGGATAGATGGGTCCTTGATTGGATGTACTTTGTCTAGATACATCTTCCATGGTGTGCTGGTAAAAGCAAATAAAATTTGCTGAGTATTTACTCTAATGTTCCAAGTCCTAGAAAAAACACATTTTGATGGCTTAGTGCATTTAATCCTTATAAAAACCCTATGAGGTAATAGTGTTAATATTATTCTTATTAAAGGAAAGCAAGACTCATAAAGGTGGGTGGCTTTCCAGCCTATTGGCCAGTTTGGGTCTAACTCAGAATCCAGGTTTATAACTACTGCTTTGTATGCTTAGGGCACAAATCCTTCCTGTATAGAGCAGCATAAGCAGGGATGTGCCAGTAAACTGGCCTTTTGCTGAGGAAAAGAACTTTGCTTTGTAGCATTTCTGATTCCTATGCTGTAAATACTCCCCCTGTGGCCAGTTTCGAGCTGCCAGCGCCCCCACTGAACGCAGGGTTGGGCTGGTGCTCACTGGCCATTCTTGAGAGCCAGGCCCCATGGTGCCAGCACCAAATGAGCTGTGTTTGTCTTGATCTCCCAACATGATTTCTAGGCCATTGCTGTCCTTTGACATGACAGAAAAGGTGTTGGGAATGTGCCTCCATTAGCACATGGATGGGAGGGAGGCTGGGATGAAGGGTCAGTGCACTGCTCGGCCCACCAGCCTCCAAGACCCACTCTGCCCCTTTCACTACGGTTTCCATCCGAAAAGCTGTCAGGCCTTCTGGGCAGGTGTGAAGCGTGGGGTTGGTGCCTTTAGAAACAGTGTCAAAGGGACAGTTGAAACATTAACACCGTGCTGCAGTTCTCAACAAAAAAAGATAATGCTCCTCTGTCATTTTCTTCTCCTCCTCACTTCACACTCCCACTCCTGTTTTCCTCGAAACTAATTACTCTGTTCTTTGACTAGTCACTCTCTTCTTTGTCAGCTGTTCCTGCAGCCCCAGCAGGAGGCAGGGCAGGCCCCCTTGAGGCCCGACTGCCCCTCAGCCATGCGTGTCTCGGGTCGCCAGGATCCTGAGGGGGTGGCAGGCACCCAGCGTGAGACTGTATTTAATTACCAACACCTGTGTGTGTTCACATGGGAGCATCATTAGTTTTGAAAGGGTAGGTTCATTGGTGTTCTTTTTTTTTTTCATGGAAAAGCCAGTTTAACAACAATAAAGTGGGCGTCAGTAACAAATGTAGGATAGGGCTCTTTATCCTGTTCTCAGGAAATACGCAGACCTTCAATGAACTGCTGTCAAACTAAAGTTTTTTAAAGAGAAGAAGGGATGGGGGGTGGACATGTAAAGCAAAATTCCTGAGTCCCTACTATGTACTGAGCTTTTTAAAAAGTCTTCATGGCTTCTTTATTTCCATTAAAACAATGAGGAGAAGGAGGCTTGGAGAGGGTCAGAAGCTGCCCGAAGAGCTAACAGGACCAGCTAGAGTGACAGCATGATGGAAGCAGTCCTGGCAAAAACAGGCTTGGTTTCTCACCTGTGGAAGTTACCTGCAGACTTTGCTAGAAAGCTTCCCTCAGGGAATGGGGTGTCAAACAGCAGGAGGGCCCCTCACCCCCATCCGTTCCCAGCTCCGAGTACTCACCAGCACTCATCTGTTGGTGTCTGTGACCCCTGAATCTTCAACAGTCATTCTGGCAAGAAGAAAGAGTCCCAGGTAGCAGATTAACTCGGGGTGTTCTGAAAGGCACTGGAGGGGAGAGGTGCTCCCTTCTTGTGTTGGGGGCCACTAAGCCTACAGCTTCCAAAGAAAACAATTAAGAGCCATGCAAGTTACGTAAAAGGACCAAATTACCTTTTAAGTAACAATGGGTCACAAAGTTTTTTCTTCATTTCAAAGCACAAGTGTTTTAAAGTGCAAAAAGGGCTGCTTTAGAGCTAGAAAGGCTCTTGGAGTCCATCTGATTCAAAAGCTCTCATTTTTCAGATGAGGAACTCTGGTACAAAGGCCAAGCCAGAGTCACGTGGTTTATTAGGACCTAGCTAATCCTCAGACATTTAACTTTTCTGATTCAGGAGTCCGGTATTGCGGTGTTCTGTTCCATATGCTCTCCAGCTGTTTTTCTGTCTCTACTTCTTAGTGTCTCAAGGAAGAAGGGTTGAGTAAGGGGTACTAAGAATTTAAAGGAGAAGTTAGAAAGCGTGAAAAGACTGAGAGAGGGAGTCAGGAGATAGGGGTGGCTTTTCAGTTAACTTAGGGTCTCAGTGGGCCACTGCCATGTGTCACTTTCAACCCTGGCATTGTCATGCCCGTTGACCGTAGCTCTGTACACATTGTTGGTTTTCCATTTTGCCATAGACTGTGCCCTGAGTGAAATGCCCTCTTCCCTCTAAAGTGAGGAGGTTTGGGGACTTGGAGCAGATGTATTCTTCGGTTGGTGACAGAAATAAGACTGCCCCACGATTAGATCCTGGCCCTGCCACTTCCTGGCTGTGGGGTCATGGGCAAACTCATCTCTCCAGGCCTCCATTTGCTCATCTCCTAAGTGGGGATAAGGAAGGTGCCTACGTCAGAGCTGTTGTCTTGCAGCTAGTAGTGCCTGGCCCATTGTGGGCTACAAGTGTTACAATTATTGTGGATCAACACCAAATTTTACTTGGAATAATGTAATAAAAATCCTTTCATGAACTCTTGTGTGGGTCCTTAAAGGCAAGCTTTTATCTGTGCTCTTCAGTGTACTGCCCACTTCTTGATTCCAGGTATGAATCTCATTCTTTACAGAGAAAAGTAAGTGACAAGAAAGCCATGGTGATGGTCTGCCATGAAAGGCAGGCAGACACAGGTGGGCTGAGGCGCAGCACTGTGGAGCCTTCCTCCTCCGTTCTCTGGATGAATCTTCTCCCCCTCCTTAGGCTTTCGCATACTACAGAGTATGTAGAAGGGTTACAGAGTATGTAGAAGGGTTCTAGCTACATTCACTCTACATTGACTGGTGGAAATGAAATAGAGACTATAGAGAAGACAAAATCTTGGGCAAATAGGGGCTTTTAACCAGTTTTAGTCTTGAATGCTATATGCAGCTTGAAAGACTGTTTCAGAGAGTGAACTAGAAGAAAGTTTAGTAATTATCAGTGCCAGATATTTCATTCTACAAAGAAACTCAGGCCCAAAAGATGGAGGCAACTTGTGCATTTGACAACACATTATTATTGTTTGTATTTTATTAACTCATTCTGTTATTATCTACCGTGATGCAATGTGGACTTGAAGCCGCTTATAAAGGTACATGTGGAATGCCACAAAACTAAAACTCAGGGAATTGCAGAAGGGTCTGGGGGCATGGTCTAGGGGAATTTTGTGACAAGTTAGTGCCCAAAGTACATGATAATAAAGTTCTTTTACGTGTGCTGATTCCTAGCTTCCAACAGAAAGGAGCAGGCATGAATGATATGATCCACAAGTTAAAAACAGACATTGCTGAGGAGAAGCAAAGCTAATTCTGATTTTAGGTGGAGAAACATTTTCCATGGATTATTATAACTTCCTGTTAATAATCCTTTTGCAGGCTACAGCATTCTTGCATTCTGTTTACAGATCCAGAGCGCAAGATACTGTATAGCATGCTGTATTTAGAAATGGAAGAGGCCAAACCACTCTACAGCAATACCTCTGTTAACAACCAGAAAAAGTGTTGTGATGCATATTGCCAAAAATACCAGAATCAAAGCTAGGAATTAGATCAAAGCCTATGGTGATATTCCCTCATAACAGAGCAAAGAGTATTCCATAAGACATCATCAGCTGCTAAAAGTACTGTCAAATGTGCATAAAGCAGTATTTTGCAAGCTACAGATCATAAATAACTCTTAAGTAGATCATAAAATCCATTTAGGAGGTTGCACCAATGTATTTTTTTAATGAAATGGATTAACACACAGAATATAGTAGAATGGAAGCTATCAGAGGAGGGTATGTATATGTGGCTGTGCTATATCACAGTGTAAATGTATTTCTTACTGGACTTTAAAAACCGTTGTCACTAAAGAATAAAAGGGGTATAGCAGAGCCTTGGGCAGAGATTGACCTAGACTTTTAGGGAGTTGGGACGAGTGGTAAGGAAGCTCTAAGAAAAGTGCCCGTTGGAGACTCAGGCTAAGAGAGGAGGGCAGGGACCCCAGCATGTGCACGTGCTCCAAAACCTGTGGCTGTCGTGGAGATGTGGAGAGGACGTGTTGTGGGACACACGTGTTACCAGAGACTGGTCCTTGGTCTCTTTCCGAGAAGGAATTCAAGAATGGATTCAGAAGAGCCTTTGAGAAATAAGAGTTCATGTCGAGATTTAGATTTGAAAGAAAGGAGAGAGTAAACTCCCAGGCCCAGAGAGTTGGAGAGCAGGCAGACCCAGAGGGGGTCTCACCAAAGGAACCATAGGGAGCCTCTTCTATAGAAGGGAGATGAACATTCATTAAGTGGGGTTAGGTTTCAAAGGAAACAAGCGCAGTCTTGCTGGAGTTTGGGCTTGCTCCACCCCCACGTCAGGAATGGGAAGCTTTTTGAGTATATTTGGTTCTCCTGGGCCCTGTTGTGGCAAGGGGAGGTGGATTTTTACTGTATCAGTGAGTTCAGAATATATTTGGAGGTGAAGGCAAGATCAGCTTCTCCCCAGTGTTGGATCCACCAGTGTTGGCCAGTCTGTTATCTGGGTTCTCATCCCCATCCCTAGAGAACTACTTAACATGGAATGTGTAGAATATAAGCATCTACGCGAATGTAAACCCTGGCCGATGTCCCCCTCCCTCTTCCCTGCTCATGCGTAGCTGTCGTCCTACTATATAACACACATTTCAGATGTAATGAGTCATCCCCTGAGATACAGAGGCAAGGTCATGAAAGAATGGTGCCTTTCCTTGGGCTTATTCTCCCACCCACATAGCTCCTTCCCCAAATCAAGACCAGGCCTTTGGCGGCCTGCCCTTTGGACCTGTGTACTGTCCAGTACAGGAGCCGAGTCACCTGTAGCTAAGGAACCCTTGTAATGTGGCTAGTCTGCAGTGAGATATGTTAGAAGCATAAAATATACACCGAAGTTAGAAGAATGTAAAATACCCATTATTAATTCTTTTAATATTGATTTATTGATGACATGTTCAAATGATAGCATTTTAGATATTTTGGCCTAAATAGGTTATTAATTTCACTCATTTCCTTTTACTTTTCTAATGAGTCTACTAGCCATTTTAAAATTACATACGTGTCTCATATCTGTGGCTCAAATTATATTTCTCTTGGATGGCAGTGCCGTGGCTTGGACCGTTTTGCTCTCTAATGTGCCTCTTAAAGGACTCTCACAATCACTCTTGAGCCTTCCTTTCCCAGTCATCCACCTTCTCAATGTTTGAAATTCCTCAAATAAAGTAATTTTTCTCGCATTGGTGAAATTCATATGCCCAGTTTGAGCTAATGCTTTAGTGGGAATAGGTTTTTTTCAGTAATTTGTCTATCAAGTTAATAATTGACTGAACCTTCCTTGGAAGTTTGGGTGAAGGGTATGGAAAGTGGTTCCACATTTCCTAAGGTTTGGTGCTTAGGATGGGGGCACCAAAAGGGGCTAAAACAATGGAAGACGGTGTGCCTGCCTTTAATTTTACTCAGCCCTGATACCTGGGGGCAGCCCTGCAGTGGGAGATTTCTGGCTTTGTTGGGGTGGGGGGAGCCTGATTATGCTTTTGTTCCCTGGTGATTTGATAATTGTAGAATTTCTGTAATTAGCTTTTTAAAAATTTCTCCTCCGGAACTAAATTTGGCTCTCCATTTTTCCCCACTTAATTTTTTGACTATCAGGATCCCAATAAGTTGAAAGCTATACACGCTTTTATATCCTCAAATGTAATACTCAGTAAAGGGCCTGTGGAACTGGTGGTGTTTCATCTGAGGCCCCATTGTGGGGTCTGCTCCCCTGCTGTGCCATCCTGGCCACTTGCCCTCTGCAGCCTCAGCACAACGACCCCCTGTCCACCACTGCCCCCCGGGGTGACTGTGGGCCTCATTGTTTTTTCAAGACTCCATATCTCAGACTCAACAGTTGGGACTGAGCAAAGGAAAATACCAGTGTGATACATCCTGGGGTACTGGTTTTGAAAGAAAAATAGTTATAGGGCCCAATGATTAAAAGATGGTTTGAAACAGAGGATAAAGTGCTGATCTATTTTAACTGCTAATGAGAGTTAATGAGGTTCCAGCAACCAGACAAAGCAGCATTAGTTTTTCTTCTCTCTGTGTCCTCTGAATAGGAGTTGCTCTGAAACCTACCGCATGCCAGTGATGGAGTACAAAATGAATGAAGGGGTCTCCTATGAATTCAAGTTTCCCTTCCGCAACAATAACAAGTGGCAGAGGAATGCCAACAAGGGGACACATTCGCCTCAAGTCCCATCCCAGGTGCAGAGTCCCATGACCTCGAGGCTCAATGCAGGAAAAGGAGATGGGAAGATGCCTCCTCCAGAGCGAGCTGCCAACATTCCTCGGAGCATCTCCAGTGACGGGCGCCCCCTGGAGAGGCGGTGAGTGTGCCTGCAGAGGTGGCTCTAAATCTGCCCCACATTTAAATAGCACCAGGCCCACAAGCACTAGTTTTAGCTCTTCCCATATTTTCCTAGAAGTCAAGGATTTAAACTGAGATACCTGCACTGGTGGCCTTCAAAGCATGGTAGCATTCCAAAGCCATACGGAGAGCGGATATATTCCAGCAAAGCGTAAGGTGCCGTGTGATGGTGGTTGTGCTTCACTCCTCATTTCTCTCTGATATCAGCAGAAATCACCACTGCACACTTAGTGCCCCTGTGACTTAGAACTCGGCAGACTCTCTGAGGGGACATTGACCGTATTACCGTCTGTGACGGTCTCCGTCTTTTGGAATATGTGATATGATAGTAGCAACAGGATGCAGGTTTTTGGTTGTTAATCTGTATTTGCATCACTTTGTAATAAAGAATTGTGAGAAGGAAAAATGAGACAGCCCCAAACATCTTTTCCACTGCTGTGAATGTAGAAGAAGGTAGCGGATATGTTCTAACACTCAGCCCTGAGTAAAATGAGCAAAAGAGGAGGGATTGAGATCCCAAAAAGTAACAAGCCAAGGTCTGATATTATATTGAAAGTCAAAATGGATTCCCTCACAGGGGATAACTGGTCAGCTCCTTAACAGGATGTGCTCGGGCTTTTGTCTGGCAGTCACTGTGAAATGCAGCACATGTGAACTAGAATCTAAAACCAGATTAAGTGCTTTTAAAATGTGCATAAAAGTTGGCTACAACATTTTAAATAATCGCACTATAAATTTAGTTACCCTAATTACCTAAGCTAATGAAGGTGACAGCTTACTTCAGTAACCCGCCAGCCACCTGCTCAAGGAAGCTGACTTCTTTCTGTCCACCCAGTACCCTTTCCCCATCTGCTGCTTGCCTTCATCTCATCTCAGAGTGGTGGTGTGGCCCCCCGACTGGAAAGGAATCAGGAACCCTCAAGCAGGGGGAAGTCTGTGGGCCAAGGGCTGTGCTGTGTAGAAGGAAGGTCCCTTTGGGAGCCAAAATGTGAGCTCATCTGAGCAGCAGGATTCAGGTCCGGCAAGAACAGGGTGCCAGGGAAAACAGCCATGCTTAAATAGTCACTGGTTCAAACTGGGAGCAGTAAGCCAGGGGTTTTTAAAAACAAACTGTGTCTTTTATCTTAGTCTAACTTTTGAACTGCTACATAAAACAGGTCATCACTTAACTATTTCAGCAATACTAGAGTACTGTGTAGAAATAATAATAAAAACAGACAATAACAAAACACGTTGTCTTTCTAAAATTCCTCATTTAATCCTGGAGATTTATTTACAGAGCCTTGCTATCAATCTCAATAAAACATTCTTCTCCCGAAGTGGCTACTTTCCCACCTGGACTCCTCTTACTTTCTTTCATTATCTTTAAGGAAGAAAAATACCCAAGAGATCTCTGAATAAATTCTTTGTTCTACACATCCCAAACTCGGCTCTCTCCGAGGTGTGTGTTAACTGGAATTCATGGTTTGGCCCACATTTTGAAAGATGAACCTAGGAAACCATTGTTTAGAGGACTTTTTTTTTTTCCTCCCAATGCTATTTTCTTTCTCCCCAGAACAGTTATCAATCAGGCTTGTACAAGTACAACTGGTTTTTGCTGTTGTCTTTATGCAATATTCCATATAATAAAATAGCAGAAAATATTTTGATTCCATGTTAAATTTATTTCTGCAAGAGAAACTAATGGTTATCGCTGAACATGGTGACCTCCAAAAGGGAAAATATTTTTTGTAGCCAATTGTTATCTTACAGTGCCAGCAGCTTTCAGTGCTAGCAGATGAAGGCATGCATCCACTCCGTTTTCTCCAGATGAAGTGCTTGGAGTTCTGGAGATTATTTCTGCAGCTACTTGTGACTGAGTGCTTTTCATCTTAATTTTGCCCAGAGGAAGGGAGATCTGAGTGCCCTAAGACTGCAGAGCAGCCCTGTGACTCTCCACGCCATTCAGATGCAAGTGGCAGAAGTAAGGCCGCCAGTGGTTTTCAGAGAAATTTAACCCTGAGTTTTAGTTCCTTCAAAGGCTTCCTAGTTCCAGGTGTTCTTTAGGATGGACGCTGGACTAGGAATTTCAGATTTATGATGGAGGACTTAGGTGACATGTAAAGTCTCAGCCCCACATTTTCAGGGCATTTGAGTCATTTGGTCACCTTCATTTTGAAGTATGTGGTGAATAAGTGGATATTCTTCTTTTGTGAAAACATAAGAAAGAGTTCAATTTCCTATGCCATCATTCCTCATTTTTAGTAATACAATATTTTTTTAAGTTTTAACTTCGAGTCGTAAATAAAAGGCAGTATTTGCAAAACTTTGTTTTGCTATTTCAGGAATATTTGGATATAGAATAGACTCGTGACAGCCCCCAGGAATACTCCCAGAGTCTTCCATGAATCCTCAGATTCATAGCATTTACCCAGGAAGATAAATTTCTCCATGAAATGTAGTAAAACATATCTGAGAAATTTAAGTGTTCCCTTCATAGCCTACTGAGGAGAAAACACCTCATGGAGAGATGGAAGTGAGGCCCCTGGCTGGGCGCTCCGGGGTCCTTCGACTCTTCCTGCCATACCAGCCCTGCCCAGGTGCCATTTACATTTATTCTGGGCAATCTGCAGAGTATGAATCCTTTCATGAGTCACAGAGAGTCCGAACAAATGCCAGGGTCTGCCATACCTTGAATTGCCTTACCAATAATGACATGAGCCTTATACTGAGACTGAAGTATTGCCATCACATAATTGTTCTGTTCCATTTTTTTCTCTCCTCCAGGTTAAACAAGTATGTTTAACTCTAAAAAAACCAACTGTATTTGAGTGAAGTCAGCAGCCACTTCAGATTTACCTGCCCATGCTATATCCATCTACCTACTTCATTCACCATAACTACATCCAGCACTGTTCATTTTAGATGAAAACATTAATTTCTTGCTTGTAGAAGCATGCATTTTCTTGAATTGTTTGCAACATGCCAGACATAAAGATCATTAGGGATAATTTGAAAATAAAAATATTGTGGAATAGATTATCCTTTTTCATTTAAAACCAAGGTTCCAATTTTTATGACATGCTAAAATATGTGGTATTTGGAGTTTCTAACAAGAATTATTTCACTGAATTGTGTTCTCTACATATTGAGTGAAACTGATGACAGTAAGGGCAGGTGACTCCTTTGCCATCTAAAGAGAATAAAGTCTAATTCTATTTGGTTTAAATATATAAGCCTTATGTTCTCTAGGTGGACTTTTGGATACAGAATTTTATTATATTTGTGGGGGCAGAACTTGTTAACAGAGTTAATGTTTAGTCAATAAAAAATAATGATAAAAAATAATGATACAATCACTATTTTGGCCTCAAATTTATCCAGAGTATAAGGATAGAATTGAAATAAAAATAGCTGCTATAGCACATTGAATTTAACACATTACTGTGTTTAAACTAATGTGGGATTTGTAGTACACCCCTGATCTGTGTTAATATGCTCAGAAAAGTTTAGCTATTTCAGTCTTTGTATAAATAACAGGCATCTTAGGATAGAAAGGTTTCCCTTTTTTTTTGGTATAATTAATCTATAATTACATGAGGAACATTATGTTTATTAGACTCCTCCCATCACCAAGTCCCCTCCACATACCCCATTACAGTCATTGTCCATCAACATAGTAAGATGCTGTCGAATCACTACTTGTCTTCTCTATATTGCACAGCCCTCCCTGTGCCGCACACACACATTATACATGCTATTTGTAATGCCCCCTTTCTTCCCCCCCTCTTATCCCTCCCTTACCACCCATCCTCCCCAGTCCCTTTCCCTTTGGTAACTGTTAGTCCATTCTTGGGTTCTGTGATTCTGCTGCTGTTTTGTTCCTTCAGTTTTCCTTTGTTCTTATACTCCACATATGAGTGAAATCATTTGGTACTTGTCTTTCTCTGCCTGGCTTATTTCACTGAGCATAATACCCTCTAGCTCCATCCATGTTGTTGTAAATGGTAGGATTTGTTTTCTTCTTATGGCTGAATAATATTCCATTGTGCATGTACCACATCTTCTTTATCCATTCATCTACTGATGGACACTTAGTAGGTTGCTTCCATTTCTTGGCTATTGTAAATAATGCTGTGATAAACATAGGGGTGCATATGTCTTTTTCAAACTGGGCTGCTGCATTCTTAGGGTAAATTCCTTGAAGAGGCATTGCTGGGTCAAATGGTATTTCAATTTTGAGCTTTTTGAGGAACCTCCATACTGCTTTCCACAATGGTTGAACCAATTTACATTCCCACCAACAGTGTAGGAGGGTTCCCCTTTCTCCACAACCTCACCAGCATTTGTTGTTGTTTGTCTTTTGGATGGTAGCGATCCTTACTGGTGTGAGGTGATATCTCATTGTGGTTTTAATTTGCATTTCTCTGATGACTAGCAGTGTCGAGCATCTTTTCATGTGCCTGTTGGCCATCTGAATTTCTTCTTCGGAGAACTGTCTATTCAGCTCCTCTGCCCATTTTTTAGTTGGATTTTTTGCTTTTTGTTTGTTGAGGTGCGTGAGCTCTTTATATATTTTGGATGTCAACCCTTTATTGGATCTGTCATTTATGAATATATTCTCCCATACTGTAGGATACCTTTTTGTTCTCTTGGTGGTGTCCTTTGCTGTACAGAAGCTTTTCAGCTTGATACAGTCCCACTTGTTCATTTTTGCTTTTGTTTCCCTTGACCAGGGAGATATGTTCATGAAGAAGTCACTCATGTTTATGTCCAAGAGATTTTTGCCTATGTATTCCTCCAAGAGTTTTATGGTTTCATGACTTACATTCAGGTCTTGATCCATTTCGAATTTACTTTTGTGTATGGGGTTAGGCAATGATCCAGTTTTAGTGTCTTACATGCAGCCGTCCAGTTTTGCCAACACCAGCTGTTGAAGAGGCTGTCATTTCCCCATTGTATGTCAGTGGCTCCTTTATC